TTCATAAAAACAAAAGTATCATTATGGACCCCATGGAGCACAGCAAATTTTGAGAAAGGGGAGGACACTGTGCTTTAAATTTAAAAATGCTTGAAAAAATCCACTCTGTCCCTGGCACTCTGAGATGGGGCTCGAACCCATGATTAAAGCATCATTAGACCATTCCATTACAGTATAGCTAGAAAGATTTTATTACAAGTTTATGCATACTATATGCGATAAGACTTTATTTACTCTATACTCTATGGGTTTATTGTGTTATTATTATATATCCTACCTTTATAAGTTCAAATTGAGAAATTGTACAAATTATATTAATATTAGGCGGGTTTGCAGACTTGGCCTGCAATACATATGAATTTACTTTCTTGAGAGCGTTTATTGAAATGGATTCAAAAATATATGAAATAATATACCTAATTTCCTACTTACTATCAGCTGTTGATAAAATACGTCAGTGAAGAATAGATATGTCCATGATGGGATAGCATTGCATACGCTACAATAAACATCTGAGTAATCAATTACGTAATTTATTAATAATGCTGCGTTTTATGAAAACTAATTGTAAAATAATATCGTGAAAAAGAAAAATTACCGCAATCTATTAGGTTTTTACATATGAAATTGGCGTTTTGTCGTACTGGCGAATTGAGCGAAGCAAACCGGCAAACGCGCTTAGACTGCTGCGTTACATTACTAAACCGGCACAATAAACAAGGTTTTTTTTTAATCAAATCATTACGTGTGATAAAAAGTGGATTCTCTACGATAATCGGAAGCGCTCATCGCAATGGTGGGAGCCTGGCATGCCAGCCAAATCCTGCCCCAAGCGAAAATTAACCCAAAAAAGTTCCTCGTAAGCGTTTGGTGGACAAGTGCCGGTGTCGTTTATTACAGTTTTCTCAAATCTGGCTAGACGATTACGGCAGACATTTATTGTCAGCAATTGCAAACCATGCTGGAAAAACTAGCTGTTAAACAACCGAGGCTGGTCAATCGCTCTACGCCACTGCTACTTCACGACAACGCTAGACCACACACTGCAGCACAGACGGCTACCAAATTAGAAGAGCGTCAATTGGAATGTCTAAGACATCCACCGTACTCCCCGGCCCTTGCTTCAACAGATTACCAATTTTTTCGAAATTTGGATAACTTATTGCAAGAGAAAAAAATCAACTCCGATGGGCATAGATAACAATGATTTATACTTTGATTAAATCAAGTATATTATATTAAATAGAATTCGACTTTTTGTTCCTACCATACCAAACACCAATTTCATATGTAAGGACCTAATATTAAAAGTAAAAGCGAGCGTAACCATGACGTTAAACATTGCTTTAAATTGCCTGGGTGTCGTTGTCTAGCATATTTTATCGAACGTGCCGACATGTGCTGGCAGTGTGATTAGAATAACAATTTTTGTTAGCCAAAAAAAAAGTATACAAATACAGCAATACTTAAAAATTGAATTGAACATAGGTACCTGTTTAATTTTAACTATGTGTTAGCCTATTTCCCGTGTAAAATGGAGCCCGCTGAAACTTAGACATTACATCCAATATTAGTAACAAAAACGTATGAGGTATATTAAAAATATAGCTTATTATAGGTACTAGGTAATGTAATATAAGGTATATGTTTATAAATTTATTTCGGCCAATTGTATTCTTGTTTATGATAATGTGGATGGCCTCATTGATCGATGCGATCGATGCCAACATTCATTACGTATGCACATCTGGCTCATAAAATAATGTCTTCAAATTGCACGCATGTCCTCGCATAGAGAACTGTTATTAGCATCTTTAAAAATGGACGAGGGTGTTCACCTTTAGCAGATGTACACTTTCTTTATGAAGAAAATCAAATAATAGGTCTACTTCTTCTGTATGTACGATTTTAGCGGTTAGAATTTTTGATAAATCAAAGTATATAATACCTTACTAACACATAGGTTTCTGAGTTGAGAAGTCAAAGTTAAGCACGTCTCACACTGTACTTAAAAGTCACTCAAATAGATTAATCGTTTCTGATTTTAGTTTTATTAATGATTAGTTGATAGCGGTTTGATAAAACTACGAACGTTTTAGACTGGTGAAACGGTAAAATGAGTGATAGCAGGATCATTAGTTGAGATTTTGTACTTTTCTCAATACGGATGTAGACAGTAAGTAAAATAAATACATATTATTTTTATTATATTTGACCAATTTTCGCATTCACAATGCTATACTGAAACAATATTCTTAATGAAAAATGCTTAAAAATCCACTTGGTCCCTGGCACTCTGATATTGGATTCGAGCCCATGATCTTTCGCTTTCCAGATTGCTCTAACCACTGAGCTACCCAGGACCTAACAAGACTAACGAATCAAATGGAACAAGTGGATTTATGAATGAATGAATGAATACACTTTATTGGGTATAATTACAGTTATACAACACATTTACGATCAAAACCAAACACAGAAGGCGGCTTTTTTGCTAAGGTAGCAATTTCTTTCAAGCTTCCCTTGACTAAAGGAAATTATACCAATTAAAAAACGAGTGAGTAGTGCGTTGTTAAGTAGGGCACGATATACAGAGATGTGGTCGTACTTACGTAGACCAAATATGAAAGATTTACATAAATTCTGGAGACGCTCTAGTTTATTCAGGAGGACAACACTTAGGTCAGAGTAACATACATCAGCATAATCAAGTAATGGGAGAAGAAGGGACTGCGCAACAGAAATTTTAGTTTTAGTCGGCAGTAGATTCTTAAATCGTTTGAGCGAGTTGTACTCCTACATGTTGGCTCCAAGATAAGTTTTTATCAATTATGACACCAAGATTTCCAACAGTATCCTGAAATGGTATATGAACGCCATTTAATAAGATTGGTTGTCATTGGTGACCATTGGTTGGCCAATTCCCGGTTGAGTCAATGTAGAAAATGGACTTTTCTTCATTGCCTTGTGTCTGGCTTTGTAGTACCTTTATTGTTTCAAATTGCCATAATACAAGCGCATTAGATGTGGATGATATTGTGGTATATTAATTTGATACTTACTTAAAGATTATGAAATTATTTCGGCGTTTGTTGAGTATGTACTAGGACGTTTATAATCTATTATATTTCTATTATATTTGCTTGTGATAATTATTATATTTTTATTAATTAATTATATTTAAATACACTTCATGATTTCCGTTGATAACATAGTATAAATATTGCCCAATTTATATATTTATTCTTATATACAGTTACGAACTTGTATAGACTATTTATCAATTTCGAGATAGGCAATATTTTAGTGGAAATTCCATCCTATGCCAATGAAGCCACAGTTATTTCTAGAAAATTCCAATTTAAAATCGAGTAATATATTGATGCTTTTCAAGAGTAGGTTATAGTGCGGAGAGTGTGTCATTACACTCTGGCCATACCTACTAATTTGCTACAATTATAGGAAGCGAAGTTACAGAAAAAGAGACGAAGTTATATTTAAAGGCTTTAAAGTTGTATAAAACAAAACGTTTTATACAACTTTCATACAGGTCAGATGCAATATATTTGAAGGTTGTAAAATTGTTTTATAAATAAACTAATTTAAACCTAGTCATCTTCAAAGCTATCAAGCCTAATACTAAAATGTATATTATTTTTATAAATTAATTATTCCATGCCTTGACGTAAGGTCGTTAAGAAAAAAACCAACAAAACGAATTACCTGGTCAGAGGAAAAAACAGATAATTACTATGCAATCCTCCACAGAAAAAAGATACAAGATTGTCATAATTTTAAAATAAGTATTCACATCACATCACCAGCCCTTTTACGTCCCCACTGCAGGGGCTCAGGCCTTTCTTATGGATGGTTAAGGAGGATGGGCCATGACCCTCCACGCTGGCCCAATGCGGATTGGAGGGTATTAACGACTGCAAATGCAGCCGCGACCAACGGCTTAACGTGCCTTCCGAAGCACGGAGTAGCTCGAGATAATAATTTTAGGTCACCCATCCCGTGACCGACCCTTGCGAAAGTTGCTTAACGACTACGATCGCGGGCCACGGCGCTTATCCACTACGCCACCGAGCTAAATACATCTATACAAAGACAACTTATTAAACTTATAGCAACTAATACTGGTAGCAATTCTATAGCAATAGACTAAATTAAGTTTTAGTCTTGTCAAACTGCATTTGTGTGATAGTAACTAAGATGACAGAATAAAAATTACTGTATACTATACAGGTGTATAATTATATTTTTTGATTACATATGACTATGGAATAAAGTTAAACCCAAAATAAATTATGTTTAAAGAGTAGTAAAACGAAATTAGCATCAATGAATATAATATTGGATTATTAACCTTATAGCGTTATAATACGAGTCAAAATGTTTAATGATCTATATTGTGTAGCCCATTAACTGCATTTTAATTACAAAATGGGTGTTTTTGAAAAATGTTTAATAAGAAAATATTAAATAATTGTTATCATTGAGGGAACTATAGGTTTAGAAATACGTACTAGACTTTTATTATGATAAGTAAAATGTATAACTATTTGTTACTTAATAAATATATTAAAAAATCCATTTTGTTCGGTGCTTTAGACCATACTTCTGTCAAGAAAAATCTAGAAAATGTTAGCAAAGTTGGAATTGACAAGATCCTCTTTAAAGTAGGTAATTATCTTTTTTCCCTAAAGATTCGATCGCATCATAAATTATTCAAATATTTTTTTCTTGTAAGACATCTTTTTGAGTGTTAATCTTATTATTAAATTTAAGAAAATGTATCATAGATTTTTTTAGCGTTAAACTCATTAACTAAACTAAACTCATTCAGATTTGAGTTATTTTTAATTCTCTTTGTAACAAAATCATTAATCATTACAGAATATAATCTTTTATAGATTAGTTCATCCGAAAATCAACATTTTATAATGAGCTGACAGTAAATAATATAAGTTTTGTTTATAAATAGATGTTGTACAAACCTTAAACATCCATATATCCAATGAGTTGTTTTAATTTTTAATTGGAACAACAATCCAGTGCTATTAAATGTCACGTATTTCACACAAAACTATAGAAATTAAGCAATTATTTTGGCACTAACCCGTTTTCACTAACTACCGGAAAATCGTTAGGATAACTTGTTTCTATTTGAAAAGCTGCTATACGGTCGTTCTCAAGCGCTCTCCACTGTCTATTGCTGGAACTGCTTGCGCTTGCGCAGGGCCCCTATTCTGATGAACCGTCGAATATTGTGTCTCACTCATTCTTATATGGGACGAGTGAGAAGATAGATCTTTAGTTGAAGATATCCAGTATCGTGGTTTGATACCGCAAAGGCAGCGCGGTTACGTCATCCCAAGGTCGACGACGCAACTTGACTTGGATTGGGGGAATTAAATGTTTCAACAGCAAGGTCACGCGGAGATGGCCGATGACATTCTATTTAAGCTACGTTTCCACGTCACCACATTTTATTTATGCCGGATATTAAGAAGCTGGAATTATTTAATCAAGGGGGCTACTCTAAAGTTTATAAATATTCTGAAAATAACACTTAAATCAACAATAAGTACACTACAGAAGCTCAAATGTTTTTAAATAATTTTTCTAATCATAATAATTTTCGTAATAAGAAATTTACAAAAACTACCTCATAACATTGAATGTACTCTTGATCACATTCCTGTTTAGCAAATTTTGACATAAATTAGCTATCTGTGCGTGGGACGTGGGACAATAATACAGCGAGGGTCAAATTTAAGCATTAAAATTAGAAGTTTTGCAAGTGTCTTACTGAGCGATTTTTTCAATGGGTTTCATACACCAGTTGAAGCTTTACCAATATCAATTATTATAGTTATAAATGTTAAATAATGACTAACATATATATTATATATGTTATGTTATGTCTTTGTGTTAGTAAATTAGTATAATTCTAACTTCATTACATTTTATATGTCACCAAATAGGTCTCATGTGTTTTGAGTCTCATTTCTTTGTGTTTGAATGATTCTATATAGATAACATATTAAATGCAAAAGGCCATTGTCAAAGCTAAATGATTCGATGGTGTACATCGTCGTACTACAAAACAATGCATAACGGAGGCATTGTTCTTGTGAACTCTGCGTTCTCTGAACTGTAACGTTAGTCGGTTACCAAATGGACACGCCCCTTTATGTTCCGGCAGACACAACGTAACTTTCTTGATAGCAAAAAATAAAGAAAATGTCGTCGCCAAAGAAAGCTGTCAACGCCATTCTTGATGATTCCTGTTTCGCGAAAGGTACTTTCGTAAACACACGTCTTTGAAATAGTTTATTGAAGCCAATATTTATGTCAATTAAAGTAAACAGAATATGTCAAAACAAATTAAATATTTCTTTTATTATTAAATGACAAATGCATATTTAAAAATCGATTTCACAATATATATCCCACCCGTTTATGACGTCAATCTAGCATACTATAAAGTTGTAAACGTTGCATCTATCTCTTTTCTATTACGATGTAAAGATAGAGATAACTATAGAATATAATAATATAAATAGCAACTGTACTTTTTTAAATTCTTATTTTGTTTTATTTTTACCTAACTGCAGTATTATTTACACAGCGTTGTCACAGCATAGTTGTTGAATCAGTTGAAATCGAATTCTAAATATAATAAAGATTTTATTTCATTGAACCTATATGTTATGTAAGAAAAATTTATTTGAAAATATTTAAAAATTCCTAAAAGATTTTTACACACAGATGCTTTAATAAAATAAAATATTTTTTTCATTGTACACACGGCTGCATGGCAGGCTATCACAATATGTCAAGTTTCCTTGGTTGATTTTGAACTCTACATTCATTAAATTAAGGTTTAAAATCATGTGGAGAAATTTGACTATACGCTGATTGATAAAACACGACATTGATGAAACTAATTACGTTTCATCAATGTCATGTCTGTCATGTTGTCTAAAATAAATTATTTATACAACTTAAAGAAAACCAATATATATGTATGAGAATATTAGAAGCGTAAGCAGCCTAATTCAAAATATTTATGTAAACGTTATTATAGTCGGCACTTAGTGTAAGATCATACCTTTTCAAAATTTCACAAGCTTCATGATATCTCGTAATACATGCTCACAAACAACATTACTGTGGAAACGATACGCATAAAGTATATTATGGTCGCATTAGAGACAGCCAGCTCTGAGCAGTTCTATTGTGTTCAATGGAAGTATTTCAAAGACACAATTAATCAGGGCGCTTGTTCACTGTGTGGGAATGAGTGCGATACGAGTGCTGTTAGATATTAACCATTGTGTCGTTCATTAGAGACCATGTTAAATCTTGTTATGGTACCTTAGTCCATCAGGGCGAAGGGGTGCTGGTTTATCAAGTAATTTTTTCTTTGGTACAAAAGTCATGGAACCTCTGATATAATAATTATACTATACCTAATTTTAGATAAATAAAGTATTATTATAGGTATACGTTTATAAGTTTTATGTATCTTTTAATTAAATGCGCCTAAAAATCTATGTCTACTTTTTAAAGATTTGATTGTTTGTTTGTTTCAAATAATCTATAAATTCCTTGTATTTAATCCATTAATTTCTTTCAATTATTTATTGACAATATTCTTCTCGACAGTACTTCAACGCATTCCTTACTGTGAAATATCTAGGTACCGGAGTTGAAAAGTAGGTTTCAATAGAAAACGAATGTCATGAATGAATTAATGCAATGCATTCGTGGTAAAGTTGCTTATACACTAAATAGAAGTCCCAGGTTCAGTTCCTAGTAAGATAAATGCAGAAAAATAAAATTATCCTTGAACTAGGAAGTCTGAATTTCCATAACATAAGGGTTTTTGTAACTTGGGGTCTAAACAATGATGTCAATCAATAAGTTAGTTATACACAAACAAATGTAGTCCAACATAATACAGACCTATTTTTTAACAATGTTTGGAATTACTATATTGTAAATTCACTAGTCCCAGGCATTTCGACATGAGACTGACCTGCAGTTTTACTTTACAATTGCATCTCAAAATAGTATTGTGAATGCAAAATTAACCAAATATAATCTTATATTTTATCATCAGCCCTTTAACGTCCCCACCGCAGAGGTTCAGGCCTTCCTTAAGGATGTTCAAGGAGGTTGGGCCATGACCCTCCACACTGACCCAATGCGGATTGGAGGGTATTAACGACTGGAAATGTAGCCGGGACCAACGGCTTTACGTACCTTCCGAAGCACGGAATAGGTAGCTCGAGATAATAATTTCTGGTCACACATCTGACTGACCCTTCCAAAGTTTCTAAACAACAACGATCGCAGGCCGCGTCGCTTATCCACTGTTACACCGAGCTCTCATAATATTTATATAGGGAAAATGATACTTATTTTTCTTTCCTACTACCAAAAACATGATCCATTCATATGAACTACCTATAATCCACACAATACAGTTGAATGAACCTGATTACTGGTGCGTAAACCTGGAACATGTGACTCGTCTGAATAAACATACACGTTTTCGTTTAACCTACTCTGTATCGGTAATAGTCGACCTCCGTGACCGAGTGGTACGCCTGTTTTTAAGTGTCGCTATCTCTTGATTCAATTCCCGGTTGAATCACTACAGAAATTTTCTATAGTGTCTCGGGTGTGAGCGTTACCAACGACAAGAAATGGACAATATCTTTCATTTGTTATTCAAACAAAGATTATTTTTGTTAAATTAATATTTAGTATGTCATCTATATTAATAGGCCTACTAAATACATATTAATTGTGGAATATTCATTTAGTTTAGTTCAAATATCACAATGATAATAAATAATCACAAAGAAAATTAGAAAAACGTACATACATTATATATCAGAAGATTTATCGTCATTTGTTTTCTGAAACAAGCTACACGATCAATATTCAAATTATTATATAAGATATCGTCAAATGAATGCATCAAATGAAACCTCGTTACATTTTACTTCATTAGTAGTTTTCTATCCTGGGATAATCATCGTTGCGTCATTGAAGATTGAGAAATTTTGTAAAGATATCCGTTTTAAAATTAGAACATTAAACAAACGTAACTGCATTCGAGTTGGATTCAAAGTGTTGGTAAATGTAAATTATCGTGTACAACAGGAAAATTATTGGGTAATTTTAATGATAAGATAGTGTCTTTATAAATATATTGCTTAGTTTATAGGCATGATTTTTGTCTTTTTCGCTTTGGATTAATCTGCATTTTGCTTTGTCTATAATCAACTTAGTAATCGTTAACTGTGTTTTAAATACTAAACCGAATTATGGCCAATCCATACAAAATTTGTTTACCGATGCCTAATTTTACAGAGCTTTATTTTCGTTTAAATCTATTTCGATAAGCGCGTGGGCGAACAAAATCTACTCTCAATAATAAAATAGCCTTTTACATTTTCGTTTGAAGGAGAAAACTTTGTTCTCCACCATTTATTTTCTAATCGCATCAAACGTTCTTAAAACAAGGCGAAATTTAATCACTCGACCAGATTTGTGAGAAAAGAAAAGAATATTTAAAGAAGCATCCGGAAGAGATGCGGATATTGATAGAAGACTTCATTTCAACCGCGTCTGTGGTTCAAGTGACAGGCGGATTTGTATTTGGAGGACTAATCTTTATTTTTTAATTAATAAATTAGATCAATTTTGCAATCACCATATATCAATATTGCTGGAGAATATATTTTATGAAAAATGCTTAAAAAATCCACCAGCCCCCAGGTACTCTGTGATGGGACTCGAACCTTTCGCAATGAATGACTGAGCTACCTAGGACTTAACACGAGTGGGGAATTTGTCAAGTACTTGTTACTTTCCCCTCTAGTTAGCGTAGCGATAAGCAATTTTCGAAAGGGCCGAAGCAAGGGAGCTCCTCCGTGCTTCGAAAGCTACTTTAAGCCGTTGGTACTGACTGCATTTGCGGTTGTTAACTCCCACAAATCCGCACTGTGCCCGCGTCATGGCCCATTCTCCCTATTCGATTACATCCATCGGGAAGGTTTGAGCCCCAGCAGTGGGGTCATTAATAGTCTGGCGATATGATGTTTTTTAATTATTTTGGCATCAGACGATCCTCATGTTAGAACAAGAAGAATCAAAAAAAGGTAAAAGGCAAAGATTCAAATTTTTT